GACTTGATTGTGGGTGGTTCATGGTTTTAGATTGGTTCTTGGGTCCGTGTGTCACTTCAGAGCTCTCCAAGCGTGACGGAATTGTGTGGAGCCTTGCCTGCCTGGTGCGAGTGTGAGAGTCGAAACCTCGCTGGGCCTGTCCCAGTGAGTGCTGCCCAAATTCGGTTGGCACTCGGTCCGGTTCTCGCTCAGGTCCCTAGGACGGCCGGAGCAGCCCCGCCGGCCCGGGCCATGCCCACTCTCAGAACTGCCGGCACCTCAGGGCAACACTTCGTAGCCGACGAAGTGATGTTGCTCTTCACTGTCCTGGATCCCGAAGCCTGAATGCGTCTCCCCCCCACCTCTCAAAACCGTTGTAGTAGACTTTGCAGACGCACGTTTGCAGAGGTTGCCCGCCCCAGCAGCATATGCGCACGATCCTGAGTTCTTGACGCGCTGGAGCATTTTAGAGTCTGAGAAATGAACTGAATCAGCATTAAACAACTCTCTCTCTCTCTCTCTCTCTAAATATATATATATATATACACACACCTCTCTCTCTATATCATATATACGTGTGCGTGTGTGTGTGTGTGTGGACTTGGAGTGTTGGAGGCCGAGCCCTGTTGTGGGGTTTGGGCCATGTATGGGGTCTTGCTTTAAAAGGAGGGCTTTGATACTTTCGGCCCCAGGGGCTTCCAACCTGAAGGGTGTCAGGTGAAGCCTTCGAAACCTAGCATCGTAAACCCCTTGTAAAGCGCAAGCCCTGCGGAGACCCGCGAGCCGGCAAGCCCCGAAACCCGGAAGATGGCTTCGGCAAGCAATGAATTGTAAGCAGGGCGTGGGCTTTAGCTAGGGATTATAGGGCTTGATGAAGTAGGCTTGCCATGGCTTGCCCCTTCGGCCGTTTTCATGCCGCCGTCCTTGTCTCTTCATGGTGTGAGCGATAGGCCTGCGAAGCGTTGACCATACTTGACATACTTGACCTTAGGAACCCCAAAAGGACATAAGCATAAGCATTCCGCTCCAAGCAGTATCTTCGAGCCTATGTCGGGTCCGTCGAAGTTTGCAGGGGTTCAGATTCATGATTGCTATTCCCTTTGCTGCCCTACTGGTTCTTATTCGTGTTGCGGCCATGGTTTTTGCTTATGATGCTTCTGAGCCGACATGTCTCGCAGACCTTTTGCCTCCCACCAGTGCTGCTACTGCTACCATTGATGCTGCTGTTGTTCTGCTGCTTCTTTCCTTCTGCTGATTTCTACTCCCTTGTTCCTCTTGGCATTACAGCTGATCCGACGACGGAGATTACCACGACGACGACGTAACAACCGCAACAACGACAACGACAGCAGCAACAACAACGACAACACCTGCTTCTGCTGCTGCTACTCCTGCTGCCACTGCTGCTACCTCTGATCCTCCTCGTCGTCGTCGTCCTCCTCCTCCGCATCCTGCAACTATAGGGATATCCCTACCTGATTGGGCTTCCTCACAAGGGGGTTTATGTGGGACATCCCTATCTTAATTTTTGCTTATGTGCTTTTTTGGGGCCCTATGACCTGCTTTTCAGGTCCTGGCCCGTGACGCCAGCGTCGATACCACCTGCTTCAGTACCGCCCACACCTAGCAGAGGCTTGAGTGTTTTGGGATTTTCGACGTGTTCAGGATAGAGGGTTCAAACTCAAAGAGATGCACGTCTATGGCTATCGCATCATCCTGATCGCCATGCACTTTACCAATGCTGTTTGAGGGGGTTCCTTATTATAGCTATAGTATAATATACCCCGAGAGCGTCTTCGAATTATCACGGCCCCTATATTACCCGTTCCACACCCGACCTTGAAAGCCTGGAAGCCGAATCTCCCTAAGTACATTGCCCTCACTTCGTCCGCCCGCTACAGTCGAAACCCTATATCCCTAAAGCGAGCCCTGACAACAGGTGTTCCGCCTGTTCCAGTGTTGTCAAGCGGCCCGCCGACCCCTTCAGGCAGTGCTTTTGCAGATGTGCTACTTAGAAGGATCCCTGGTTTTGACAAGCCGCTTCTACGTGTCCGGCTGACGGAAAGCCCACCACAAACCAAGCGCTTATTCCATGTTTACGGCCTAAGGGGTACAGTAGCACAGAGACCGCGATACTCCACGCCGCGCAAGGCCAAAACCCTTGCCCATCCCTTGCCCTGATGCAGCAGAAGATGCAGCAGCAGTAGTACATCGTCCTTCAGACAGTCAGTCAGCCTTTGACAGTGCGTTTTGCTTGATCTTTTTCGCTCTGTTTCACAGCGCTGTTCCTATGGCTTCCCTTACGCATCTGATGCGATGGTTTTGTGAGATTCAGTGGGCATCAGCTGTCTGGGGCTGCGGGTTCATGGTTTCTAGTTTTCCGGCAGAATGTATATCTGTCTGCAAGGCCGCTAGGGTTTAGGGTTGGAATGCCCCAGCCCTAACACTATTCTATTCTAGCTATTCAGGCCACTTTGTCGCTATGCCTATTTTTCCTGGCTTGCCCAGGGGCTGCGGCACCGGCCCCCTTTGCGGACGCCTCGCAGCGTGGGCTTCATCGACCAGTGAGGGTCCGAGAGTGAGAGCTTTCTAGCGGTCCTATCCGGTTTGCATGATTCGTCCTGACAAGAGATGAGGAACGTTTTCAGTAATATAGGTATAAACGTTGCTAGGAACAGACCTTGTCAGGATCCATCCGACGGTGAGACAGAACACTTCTGTCTTGTCTGCTTCAGAGCTCAGGCCTCTTCTCCTCGGCCATGCTCGGAAGTCCGTTCGTTGTTGGTTTTCCTGTCTGTCGCTAACTTTGGGATTCGTTATGCACCTCGCGCCTCCTCTCTTGTGCGGATAGACACACACACACACACACGGACACGGGGGAAGCCCTGTTCGCGATTGCGTTCCAAGCTTCTGGGTCGCATCGACAAGACTCAGGAGCTGCACTCCGCAACCTCCGAGGAAGATGCCCTCCTGGCCTGACCCTCACACTGGCTTCTAGGGCTGTAGGGTTTTGGGCTTCCAGACCATACACTACCTCAAGGCCCAGAAAGAAAGTAGCAGAAGAAGCAGAAGAAGAAGTAGTAGTAGTAG